TTCTCTTACTAATTCTATAGACACTATGCTGGAAAATAATTGAGTATCCCAGTATACCATCACCATTTAGCCTATAGAATAATGTCGAACAGTTTTTTTACTGATTTTCGTACATAGTATACTACCCCATTGATAAAGTAGAAGGTAGGTTTAGGCAATTTAGGGTATGTTTCTTTGTTTGTAGTTTATATTTTATAGGCAGATTATTTATTTGGGTATTAGGCCTTTCCCTCTGTGCTATTAGCCACCGAAAAAAAAACTAAAATTATTTAAATAATTGTTTCCAAACGAAAGAAAGAAGAATTTGGGGTACAGTTTAAAAGAAAAAAAAAAGGCCGTGGCTAAAGTAACAGAGGTGTTACTATAATTATTAATTTAAAGTAACATCAGTTCAATGACGTCACTGATGACAACGTTACTTTAATAGGGACTATAGTAACAGAGGTGTTACTCTAATTATTTTCTTGAAGTAACGTCAATATAGCAATATGTAGATAGGTACTTTCTTTAGCAATTTAAAGTAACAAATGCGAAGAACCAAGAATATCGGTTCTTGGCATTTGTTTTAGAGTAAAAATGGAAATATATAAAAAATAACCTGACTTTGAAGGATAGAATGGAATAGGTACCATCGTCACCAAAAGTAACTGGGAAAGCATCACATTAGCTCTTGTCCTATTATATGAATTTTATTGTCAAATATTTGTCAAACTTGAATTAAATGCATTGAAATGAATGACAGCGGAATTAGTCCGGGAGATTATTATGCATTATTTGTGTCCCAGATACTTTTGGTGACGATGGTACCTATAAAACAGGCACTATGGGCAAGGCAGGAAAGACACATTTTCCTATGACCCTGTCAGAAAGTGACAATTTTTTACCTTCTTTTCAGGGAGGAAAATAGTTATTTCCCCTCCCTAGGGAGGAAAGGAAATTATTTTCCTTCCCAGGCAGAAGTTTTTTCGCTGTAGATAATAGTTTTATGATAGGTATCGTATATCTCCTCATGTGTAAAGCAGGTATTAGGAATAGATTATCAATTACTATTATCTTGTCGTATGAAAAATCCTCGGAAAAATCATAATATACTTAAGTAGGTATATTCCCTTGGAGTAGTGAAGTTCCGTTTCTCTCTTTGGTAATTAAGTAATCGAATTTCACCTGTAGGAGAGAACTATACCTACACATACTCCCCTCCCTTTGGTTTACAAATAACTATTAAGTAAGGGCATGTGAGGAATGGGAATATGGAACCGCCGACTTAACACCTTCGCGATACCAGAGTTTGGCATCATAATATTGTTGTTTATATTTAGCCATTGCCATTATTAACTTATAACCTCGCTTCTGCCTTTAGTGTCAGTGACATCGTAATTGATGTTACTTCAAGAAAATATTTATAGTAACACCTCTGTTACTTTAGCCACGGCCAAAAAAAAAACGGAAAGGTAACCTCACTTTTAGCATCTAATAATTATAGGACACTCAACCTTAGATTTATATCGTCTTCGATGTCAAAAGTATGAACCCTCGTGAAACAAAATGTATTGATATTATAAGTTAGTTACCATAATATAAAGTGAATTAAATACTTCCGTGTTTTTCTAAATTTATATTGTTTTTATTTTCCGTGATTGATATTGATAAGAAAAAAATTCCAAATGATTTTGAAGATATTAACTGTTGATAATTTGAATTGTCAACCAGCAATATCTTGGAAATGGTTTGTAATTTTTAATGGCGATATAAAACCACATGAAAAAGGTTTTAAGACTGTGAGAAGAACATAGGTACTAGACACATGCTGAGGAATGTACTGTGAACATACCAACGCGCGTTCTTATCACATGACCATCATGTCCTTAGTATCTTCTATCAGAACACGAATAGCACTATTGTTCGTCGATTTTTAACTGATACTTGCGGTATGAGGAACGATGGGGTGTTTCATATGGCAAAAACAGGTGTGACGTCAGGTAACCATTGGCGTTCTAATGTAGGGAGCCACCAGCTTACATTCCGTCCGAGTATCAGATTAAAATCGACGAACAATACCTTAGAACATTCTTTGGAAATTAGTGATAAGCAAATGCAAGACCAAGACCAAGACCGGGCTAGTCTTGGTCTTGCATATGCGGTCTTGGTCTTGCAGTCTGATAAGTGGTCTTGGTCTTGCAGGGTCCAGTCTTGGTCTTGGTCTTGCAGCAAGACTCTCACAAGTCTTGCATTCATTTGGTAGATTTTTACTGAAGGGAATTTTTACAAAAATTTTTTTAAAAAAAAGTTGTATTTGATACCACTTGAAGTAAGTAAACGTTTAAAGAAAGGGAGAGTATATGCCAGTATCAAAATTTTGGTTTTTCAATATTGAGTACCTCTACCACAGCAGCAAATTTTAACAAGTACTTAAATCAGACCATTTTTTCAAGTAAAAAATGGCCAAAAAAACATTGGAAGTTAAGGGATCACTTGTTAAAGTTTGTCCCTGTAACATGGAAACATTTATTTGCATTTACCAGTGGCGCACTCAGAGAATATGTTTGGGGGGCATCTATACAGGGTGACACAAGGAATAGGGAACAACCTATATCTTTTTTAATATAGTATAAGTTGAAAATTTGAAATTTGCGAGGCAACTTTTTGAGTTTTTTAGAAATAATTTGCGTTACCAGTCACTTCCGGTTAAACCGGAAGTGGTCATAACTTTTAATTTCCAAACGGGACACCCGGTATTTTTTGAGTTTTCTGGCATCAGCAGATCATTTTACGTATTATAGGACCATTTTCGAAAGATTTATAACAAAACAAAAAAAAAAATGTATTTAAAAATAAAGATTTTTCAAAAGTTTTTGGGTTATTTCTCAGTGGATTTTAAAAATGTTGATATCAAAAAATAGGGAAAAAATCTAGTTGCAAAAAATGTATATAGGTTGAGGATTGTGTCTAAAAATCTATACAAAAAATTGAGGTATCAGGGTGCCACGCCCTGATGTTGCCACATTTTTTTCTACGTGAAAATACAGTTTTGGATAGCGGCCCGATGCTCCCCCTGGGTGCACTACTGATATTCACAATGGGCCTCTTTCACGTGCCGGGAATATGGCATATTATAATATGTTTTGACGCAGATACATGCATGAATGCAACCAACAATGAACAATGTTCTGCAAGATTTTAGTCAGATTATTAAATAAATTGATAAATAAAAATAAAAAATTCTAACAAAAATTCACGTGACTCAAAACGCCCTCTCATTGGTTGAAGCTGATATCCATGATTTTGTTGCCGCATTTAAAAATACGAAATTTAAATGAGTTCAAAGATTTTACCTGTCTTTTATTTTTTTATGACGTCGTAGAGGACGAAAATAGACTCAAGGTGATGAGTTGTGTAATGATGTACTAATGAGAAATTTGACATCCTCGCATTTTTACTGATTTTCTGGTTTGTGACGTCATACACCGGTCCAGCGTTTTTTTTTTGGAGAAAAATAAAAAGATAGTATTTATTAGAATGACTAAAAGAATAATTCAAATATGTTTTTCAAAAATGTGAAAGCGCCCATTAATTGCGGGCGGCGCTAACACAAGAACTATTTTATTTAAACGTGCATACCATTTGATTTTTTTATGCCTATCTATAATTGAGTTGAAATGTAACTATCTATCCATTTTCTTGTTCCTTGATAATCTAATGCAGCTATTCTTATATTTCTGTATTTTTCATAGGCCCCAATACCAATAACAGAGCCTATAATGATAGTTAGATATGATATATTCAACTACAAAATAACTAAATCAAATACATACTAAATTTTAGTACTCTTCAGGAAAAAATGGAACAAAAACGCAAGACCGCAAGACTCTTGCATACTCGGTCTTGGTCTTGGTCTTGCAGTCTAATAAGTGGTCTTGGTCTTGGTCTTGCTTTTTCTGCAAGACCAAGACCAAGACCGCAAGACCAAGACCAGTCTCGCTCATCGCTATTGGAAATGCAATAGATATTTCCCAAATCATGTGATGAAGACATTCTTAGAACGTGCTGCATCACATTCTTTGGAATGTATGATATCTTCTTCTAATAGGAGTTTGTAATCTATTCTTAGCAGGTTCTATTCACGTGCTGTATGTTATTCAAGCATGTTCTCAGAACATGATATATCTGTTTAAGTACATTCTTAGAACGTGCATTACACGTGATTTTGTTTACTGGGAGTAAACCCCCATCCTGAAGGACCGAGGACCAGGTCAGTTTTTGTTTCACGGTGGGTATTTTATTTTCCCACTACCCTCTTCTGTTAGATTGCAGACCCAGCGAGCTTCCCCTAATTCTCATAGGGACGAACACGATGGAGGTATTGTAACTGACACATCTCCACACTTCGAGATTCCATTGGAAAAATCTGTATTTTATTTACCTAATTATATATTGCTGATTTAAATATTCATTTTAATAGGGATTGTGACCAATCTAAGGTCATACGTCGTTGGAAGGCGTGATATTATGAGGCATTGGGTTTTTTTTTTCTAAAGTTGAGCTTTGCCTAACTCGTTTATGAAATAAAACTTTGATAATGTTGGGAGCTACATTCCGAAAGGATCTTTGAAGACTCTTGGGCAACGATACAGCCAAGGATCCAGCCCATCCACAGAAATAGCAGTAGAGCCAAAATGACCAAAAACCGACTCAATCCTGTGACTGTAGAAGGACGATGAAGTACCTAACATGCTACATATTGATGGTGATTGGAATGATGGCAAAATGACTAAGGAACAAAGCCTTTTTTAATAAATGAAAATAGATGCTGCAAATCATTCACAGTTGTTTTTAAGCGTTTCATTCCAGCTGGATTCAAATCTAAAAAAAAAAATCAAACTATGAACGAGTATTAGTCTTCAAGGATTCCTGACAAAATTTATTAGCCAAGTAACCTTATTTATTAGGTAGTTATTATTTTTGTCTAAAAAAATTCTCATAGGAATTTTATATTGATAAACGGTTAACCAAATGCAAGTGCAAGGAAATGAAACATATTCGTTATCTTGCGTTGCTGCATTATCTCACAAAATGTGGTAGATTCAAAAACCATAAAAATGATCACACATTGTGAAAAGTTCTCAGTTGCTCTATATTATAGCTACAACCAATATCAAGTTAAGTATCTAAATAAAATGTTCAAATTTTTTTTCTTGTTATTGCCCTTTGCAGCAGGCAGCTTCATGGACACGGAAACTCCAATACCATTATTACTAGGATCATCAGGTGAATTTTTTTTTTTTCAAGAAAATTAGATAGTTTATGGATTTACATTACATCGTTTTATAGGCGACGATCGACCAACTACTACCAACAGAGACGATATAGATATAATTTCTAGAACCTCGCGTTTCTATTTTCTTGGACCACAAAAAGTCAATTGGTTCGAAGCTCACTATTTATGTCAGCAATATGGGATGGAACTGGCCACTGTCGAATCAGCAAAGGAAGAAGCTGAAATAGAGGAACTTTTAAAACCAGAAGAACCTGATAGTAAGTGAACAAACTTATGCATATAATTTTGTTACGATTTATGATTTTCAAGTCATTTGGGAATTTTTAATTTTTAAAAAAAAATTCTAACGTTTAAAAAATAGTGAATTTATGGCCACCTGTAGACTTGGATGATAAACGATGGCTATTGTATACCTCAATCTTCAATGACTCATGATCATGTGGTTATTTTTCGTTATGTAGGTATAGAATCAGAATCTCATAAAATGCAGCATGATGAACTCTTACATAGACCCGCAAATGTCAGTGTCTTTTTTCTTATAAAATCTCGTAGATTATTATTTAATAATACTCACTATAAAAACTTATACCTAAACACCTTTAAAATAGTTTAATTGGTGAACATTTATCCCGAATTTCCCTGCTATACATAGAATCTCATAGAACTATTCTACAAAACATGCTGATAAAAACTTTACATTATTTTGTGTCGATATACCATTTGTGAATAGGTACTCATGAGTTTATGAGGTATTTTTTATGTACTCGTCAAATTGTATTATTTTTTATCAACTATTTATAGCCGGAGAGCCAGCGCCGAAAAAATTCTCTGAATTTACTAAAGCCAGTTTTTGGTCAGTTGATTACAGTATTTACGTACATAAACATACCTTGGTCAGTCAAGCGAAACTTGGGACAAGGACCCAGGGTGTCTTGTTAAAGTTGTCGAGATAGCTAGGTAATGCAACGAATTTACCAAGGCTGAAAATCGCTATACATATTATATATAACACATAAATAACAGTGATGTTTGTCAGTCACTTAAATAGCGGAACTGGGCCGGTCATTCAGCCCCATTGAGGTAGCTCAACCCCAATTTATGTAAAAAAAATAATAGGTCTATTTTTTTTTTAGAGTGACAGCGTGACAGTGACAATTCAAAATTGTAGGTTGAAGTTTAAATTAATAGGTTTGTTCAGTAATATTAATATTTTTTGCAGATTTTTACATTTATTGGGGCTGACTGACCAGCACGGTCCCGCTATTCAACTGACTGACTAACACTACTGTTATTTATATGTTATATATAATATGTATAACGATTTTCAGCAAATTCGTTGCATTACCCAAGTTATCTCGACACCTTTAACAAGACATCCTGGGTCCTTGTCCCAAGTTTCGCTTGACTGACCGCGGTATGTTTATGTACGTAAATACTGTAATCAACTGTCCAAAAACTAGCTTTAGTAAATTCAGAGAATTTTTTCGGCGCTGGCTCTTAGGGCCATATTCTCCGTAGTTCATAAAGCCTGCCTGGCTTAGTGAAAACGCTTGGCTTTTTGTGTGACAAAGCCGAGCTTTTCCACTAAGCCAGGCTTTATGAACTACGGAGAATATGGCCCTTAGACTTTTAGCACGGATATTTGAACTTTACCTTTACCTAATGTAAATTAGAATTGCAAATTAACATAATAGATAAATAACTCTATATTATGTTATAGATGGTTTCTGGATATCAGCTACAAGATTGGGCAGCTGTAACCTATTTGTTTTTTTTTAAAACTGGAAAGCCAGTGACTTATCACAAATTTGCGTCGGGTCAGCCAGATAACGCTGGAGGAAAAGAAGAATGCGTGGAAATTTTCAAGTATAACGACATGGAAATGTATTGGAACGATCTTCCTTGTGACTCTGCTAGATCCAAAAAGAAATTTATTTGTCAGTCGTGATCATACTTACCTAGGTACCTACTCTAAAATTTTTGGTATACATATTGTTAAGACAGGCGACAAATTACTTCTGATCTCCCTTTAAAATAATGTTTAACTATTAGCTGTTTTGAATAAAATAGTTGAAAATATAGAAGATCTTATAAATTAGTTTTCTTTCAATTCTTCTTCATACTATCATCTCGACTATCATTTTCATAGACCATATACTAGGTCTGGACACGAACCACAAACAATCGCTTCACTATCGATCAATAAAGTCGACGACTTACTTATTGATTCGATCTATAATCCCTACAACCATTAATCGTTTTGCATTAATCTACATCTCTTCGACAAATTCCGCTTTGTCGATAAGAAATTGTTATCCATCCGGATAACAGCTTTAGCAGCAACGTTTCGATTGGCCGAGACCATGGTACTAAAAACAATGCCAATTATGTAAATGTACGTAATACATACATATCTACATAAGGTCTGTTTCCACAGAAATCACAAACTACTCAGAGCGAATTTTATTGGTTGAAAATAGTCAGGAAACTGATTATTGGCAATTTGGACCAATCAGAAACGCACTGACTGGTTTGTGATTTCTATGGAAACAGACCTATAGTCAAATAAAAGTAAGTATATCCTGTTCACAATCTGATGTCCACAGGTGCAGGTAAATTTATCACCTTTCCCTATCAAATAGCATTGAAAGGTGATTTTACCTGTACCTACCTGTGGACATCGGATTGTGAACGGATAATACCTAATAAAAATCAATTCAAGAGCCTGTAATAAACAAAAATTGACGAAAAATTCCAAATTGCCAATTATTCCAGAGTCTGGAAACTCGTGTAAAATGCCCTTTTTGCCCTTTCATTACTCAAAAACAGAACTTCCATAGCCAAAATAGTTCAAAAAAGCTATAAATCATGAAAACAAATTTTCCAAACTTGAATTTTGTCTCTGGAGCTGGAAGTTTGTTCTGAGATATTTTTTTTCTAGAAAAATCAGCTCAAACTGTTCAATTATAGGGTCCTGAGTGAAAATAAAATATCGATTGTTTAAACAATTTATCTTTTTATTTTACATGTGGACTTCCTGATGGAAAAAGCTCGAACAACAAAAACAGCTGCGACAACATGTCTACTGTCAGTTCTGTCACACATAAGTGGTTTGTTCGCACAACTGTACTGAGCTGCACTAGAACACAGAAGTGTACTCCAACACTCCCTCCCAATTCTGTGTTGGTTTACATTTCTGTTTACATAAACAAAACATAAATAATTCTAAATAGTAGTTATAGTAATTAAGCTAATAATTCTTGAAGCTCAATTCAAATAAATTAATAAAATAAAATCATAATAAGTACATCAAAGCAAAGCAAAAAGTAAAATAAAAATAAACATCCATTATAAAGCGAGTTATGAATATAAACAAAAAAATTAAATGAAAGAAACGGTTAATTATTCAAAAATAATTTCTTCAACATTAATCGAGTTTCTGAAAAACTTGAATTTTGTACTTGCTAAAGGCTTGGTCAAGATATCAGCCTGTTGCTGATTTGTACTCACATACTTCAACACAATTTTACCATCCCTTATGAGGTCTCTAACAAAATGATGTCTAATGTCAATATGTTTGGTTCTTTTACTTTCCAGTGTTGAGGCCATTTTGATGCAAGACTGGTTGTCTTCGTAAACAATTATAGGAAACAAATCAGTTTTTAAAATTTCATTCAACATTTGAGCCAAAAATAAGTTTTCTGTGATACAGCTTGACAGAGCAATGTATTCAGCCTCGGCACTGGAAAGAGTAACAATATTTTGCTTTCTAGACTTCCAATAAACAATATTATCATTCATTTTTATTAAAAATCCGGTAACACTTTTCCTATCGATAGGGTCATTTGCAAAATCTGAGTCTACATAGGAAAATACTTTTAATACTGGTCTTTCACTCCCTCTATATTTCAGACCATAGTTTTCAGTTGATTTTAAATATCTTAAAACATTCTTTAAATAAGTCCAATGGGTTTCTGAGTAATTATTTTGAAATTGGCTGAAATATGAAATAGTAAAACTCAAATCTGGCCTACTGCCCAACATTATGTACATAAGGCAACCAATAAGCTCTTTGTAAGCAAGCTTTTCGTTCTTTGGTTCATCAATAGAGCTTATAACTGATTGAATTTTTGGTTGTAATGGAATTTCTGAAGGCTTACAATTATACATATTGAATTTATTCAAGATTTTCTTAATCAAACTTGTTTGACTTATATATAGCTCATTGTTTACCTTTTCTATCTCTAAACCCAAAAATGTCAACTTCTTATTAGTGTATTCTTTAATTTTAAATCTTTCAGTCAAACTTGTTTTAATAAAATCCAAAACATGTTTGTCTTTTGAAAAAACAATGATGTCGTCAACATACATCAACAGATAAGTATGGTCCTTGAAATACAAACACGGGTCTTTCATGGAACGTTGGAGATCAAGAGAAACTAGAAAATCGTGAAGCAAGGAATTCCAACATTTTGGAGCTTGTTTCAACCCATAAAGAGATTTTAAAATTTTACATACCAATTTAGGATCTTCTTCCAACCCTTCAGGCTGATACATATATATAGGTTCTTCCAATGTTCCATACAAGAACGCCGACTTTATATCCAACTGTTGCACATAAAAATCCTCCTGCACATACAATGACAAAAGCACTCTGATAGTGACCATACGAGCCACTGGGGCATAAACGTCTTCACTTAACACACTCTGTCTAAAACCACGTGCCACCAGCCTAGCCTTCTTCACTAATACACCATTTACTTCTTTTTCTTTGAACACCCATTTCGAGTCGATCACATGCATGTCTCTAGAAAGTTCCACAAGTGTCCAGGTTTCATTTTCTTTCAAAGAATTTAGCTCCTCTTCTACCGCTTGTCTCCACTCACTGTTCTTTACTGCATCTGAATATTTTTGTGGAACTTCAGAGGGCAAATTTCCTGCCGAGAGTGCTGTCATAAGGTTTGCATCTTCGTACAAGTCGTCATCATCATCATCTTCATTTAATTGGTAGTCTTGCAGGTGTGTCGGTATTTTTCTTGTTCTCTCACTTCTTCTAGAGTTTTTATTTCTCAAGTCTTGTACAGTTTCACTTTCTTTTTCTTCTTCACTTGAATACTCTGTAAATTCTTGTTTTCCATCATCTGTTTGCTCATTGATTTGTTCAACCATTACACTATCGTCATTAGTTTTCAATTCATTGAAAATAACATTTCTTGCGATTACCACTTTCCTTTCTAATGGATTCCATAGTCTATAGCCGTTAGCAGAATAGCCAACCATGAACATTTTTTGACTTCTTTTGTCTAGCTTTGACTCTCGGTCCTCTTTAGGAATCAGTTTGTGGGCCTCGCAACCAAACAACTTTACCTTATCCATGTTTGGTTTGTATCCATACCATACCTCAGCAGGCAGTTTCTGATTGGCCAGTGTTGAAGTTTCTGTTCTGTTCAATAGAAAAACTGAGGTTAAAACAGCCTCACCCCACATTTCTTTGCCTAATTTCGAATCAAATAGAAGGCATCGGGCCTTCTCCATTATTGTTCGATTTAGCCTCTCGGCTACCCCATTTTGTTCCGGATTTCTTGGAACAGTGTACTGCAAATGTATTCCTTCATAGTTACACAAGTCTTTGAATTCCTGAGAAATATATTCGCCACCGTTGTCCAACCTTATTCTCTCTATTTTATTGTTAAATTTAGCTTTGACTCGCTTTATATATTCTCTGAGCTTTTCTGTAACTTCACTCTTGTTTTCCAGGAGATAACAAATGCAAAAGTGTGAGAAGTGATCAATAAATGTCACATAGTATCGTTTTCCATCATGTGTTGCAGGTCTAATTGGTCCACACACATCAGTTGAAATACATTCCAGGATTCTTTTGACCTTTCTTTCTTCATCTATTGTTCTGAATGGCTGCCTAGTTTGTTTACTTTCTAAACAAGTTTCACAAATTTCGGGTGAGGGATATTTGCTAGAATGACCCATTTTTCTGTGCATCAGCAATTTACTTTCATTCACCGTTAGGTTCACAATTTCCATCTTGGGTTCTGTAGATATTTGAAAATCCACTACATATAAATTTCCATGTCTTTTTCCTTGTAAAAGTATCTTGTTTTTCTTCCATACATTCACTTCTCCATTTCCAAATACAACTTTCATTCCAGCTTCTTCCAATTTTCTGACCGACAATAAATTGTGTGATAATTCTTTGCACACCCAAACATTTTTTATTGTCATTTTTTTTTCAGGTGTGTACTTGTGATTGACATACAAATCGCCCTCTTTGATTACTGATAGATTTTGTCCCTTTTTAGCACTGCTAATCTCATGGTTTTTGTTTTTTTCATTGATGACATGATCCTTGTACTCTAGTTTTACTAGATGATGCGTGGCACCACTGTCCACTACAAAGCTAATTTTATTTAAATTTGGTTCATAACTCATTAAACTTTGTGGAAATTTTTCATTCGTCTCACCAGTCAAAAATAATATTTCATCCTCTGTTTCATCATTATAATTGCTTTGATTAGGCTGGTTATTACTTTCGGCGATATTTGCTTGATTTCTTCTCTTATTCTCCCGGTAATATCTATTTTTAGGACAAAATCTTCTCATATGTCCAACCTCATCACATAAATGACATTTAAAAGGAAAATATTTGTTGTCTCTGTTTGTATTTCCCGAGGCCGAGCCAGAAGCATTTCCAAAATTGTTGTTGAAGCTCCTATTTCTATAGCTGGATGCAAACGCAGCGTCGTTTGTTTCGAGTTCCACATTTTTCGTTTTTCGACTTTCCTCCATCAAAAGTTTATTTTTAACAAAGTCCAGGCTCACCTTCGATTCATCCTGGCAAAACATTACATCTATAGCTGTTACAACTGCTTGGAAACTGTCTGGCATTGCTGACAACAATTGGCAGATTAACTCCTTGTCATCTACATTTCCCCCCGCAGCTTTTATTTGACTAACTGTTTGATCAAACTCAGTAAAGAATGTAATTAACTGGGTTTTTTCCATAAATTTCATCGATCTT